CTGCAAGAAATTGAAAAATAGACAATAAATTAGAAAACACATAGATAACAATATTTATTGGTTAATGGGAAAGAGCTTATGTTGAAGAAGATAGTGAAGAAAGAAAATACTGCAACTGATGGGCCTTCCTGGTGGTACAGGGGTTAAGGTCTCAGAACTACCAAGCTATCACCAGCCACTGCAGTTTGAGTTTGATCCCTGGCAGGTGCTGACCCACATGGCGCAGCAGACCTCTCCTGTCTCACCCCCTGCTCTCCTCACGGCGTATTTCAATACATCTGTCTGTTCTGCTCCTCACTCCAGTGAATCCTTTCATCCCCTGAACCTCTGGCCTATACCCCAGTTCTTACATGCATAAACAAAAATAATTTTTTTAAATACTGCAGCTTAAAGACTGGTGGAAACAAGACAATAAGAATGAGAAGATATTGGATGCTTCTATAGTTCTCTTCTAATCTTTAGAGAAAAAGAAAACAGAAATGGTGTGCAGTAGAAAATATGTTTTATTACTGTAAAATACTTGTATTTTTACCATTTTATTTATATTTATATTTACATTATTGTTTTATTTATATTTACATTATTGTTAGAAAATATTAAGTAAAATATTCCCTCGTGGGTTTAGCTTTCTCCATGAAGAGTAACATGACACCTAGGTTTCTGGGACCTAGGTTTCTGATGTAGGTGGCATGGGTGGTTTGATGAGAATGCTACATAGGTTTGGATTATGAAATGCTACCCTTCCAGCTTATTCCTTGTGTGTATACCTGCTCTGTGACCAATCATGATCTCCAGCCTCTCAACCTCTGTATTGTGTATCTGGTAGTTAACCCTGTTCTGGCACTTTCATCAATACTATGATGGAGGATTCTAGAAATATTGAGGATCCAAGTGGAAGTTAGCGTCATAAATTCTAGATGTGTTTTGTGTGATTTCTCTACTGTGCGTCAGCCACATAGAAAGAACGAAGTGTAAATATGGATATTATGTCTCAGGCTATGGTTTTGTTGGAAAGGTGCATGACCATGAATTAAAGACTGAGGAGGGATAAATGTGCCAGAACTTGGTTGACTACCTGACAGGGTTTCAGAGGCTGGAGATCATGATTGGGTCACAAAGCAGGTATCCACAAAAGGGAATAAACTAAAAGGGTAGCATTTCACAATTAAATAACATTAGCAAATAGTGCCAAAACCAAAACCCACTTGCATCTACTTAATACTTTGCTTCTTTTAACCTGTCTTTCCCATTGTGCCTCTTTTCCATGTGACACAAAGACCAAGGACCCCTCTACCCTCTTGAATTATTTCACATGAACACGATATAGCTTAACTTCAGTCAAGTAATGTCACAGTCTGGATCTACTCATCATCAAGCTAATACAACCTTCATATTAAATTAATTTTTTATTGTTGCTAAAAGCAAAAAGACAGAGTAACAACAAAAACTCACCACCTAAATGCAAAAGATTGAATATTAGGTCATATTTACTCCAACTTTCTTTATAAATTAAGTTATTGAGGTAATGGTGACTTACAAACTGTATGTACTATAGGGGTTCAGTTGCATAGACCCTCAACTGTCTGTTACCGTATCATGCCTACCACCAAAGTACCAACAACTTGCCTCTTTGTTTAAAAATCAAGCCCTACCATGATATCGTAAACATTTTGTTCTACAGTTTTGTCTTCTATAATTAAGAATGATTTTGTTTGTTATTTTTATTTATGGGTATCCAGTTTTTCTGGTATTCTTTACCAATAAGTCCAACTGCTCCTACATCTAAACCAAATTACATCAACTGCCAATTTTGAATAAACAACTGAACTGCTTTAAGCTTGCTGGTCTGTTACATAGATATATGTGTCCACCCTTGTGCCAGTATTAATCCATAATATAACCCATAATATAAAATATGAGAAAAGTCATTTTCATACTTGATAGGGTATTTTCCTCAAGTTATCTTAGTTTTTTTTCCCCCCTGGTTCTTTATTCTCCTACATGAATTTTTGGGTTAGTTTACTAATTTCCATGTTTCAAAGGAACATGGCACTTTTGATTTGATTTACAACGAATTTGTAGGTTAATTGGAAGAGAACTGAAAGTTTTTCAACATTAAGTGTCCACTAACATTGTTGCCACCACATCTTATCGATGTTTTCTGTGTCACTGTATAAAGTTTAATAATATTTGGATCTAGGCTTATACCTCATCCTCAGTTTTTAGACTTATTTCCAGATTCCTTTCATTTCTGGTATCAGTGGGACTGGAAAGTTTTTTCTAAAATAGAGTTTGCAAATTATTTTTACTTAAGTGTAAAAAAATACTAATTTACATATATATCAAGCTTTCTGAAACCTCTTAGTTCATTTAAAAAGTCTCTTGAATTTTCTTTGTAGACATATGTTCTGCATATTCTGTTATCTTTTTCTTTCCAAATCTTACATACTGTAATTCTTTTCTACAGTTCTTTTCATCAACAGGACAAAACTTCTGTTATCTTATACAGAAGGCACAAATTAAATTCCCTGCTTCATGTGATCTGTGGCTCTATCTCTTTTACAAACATATTAATACCTCCAACCTTAAGGTCTTTTAGCTTTGTTGTAGTTGAAACCATACGGGTTTATCATAGCATCAAGTTCTGGCTTTTCAATCTGAGTTTTCTTCCCCCCCCCTCCCCCCCCGATACCTACATATTCTCAATTCTTTCTTTAGGTTTGGCTATGTGTAATTTTTGGTTACTTTCATAATTTATCTAGTATTTTTGTATTTTAATTTTTAATTACTTTTATAACTTATCTATAGTGTTTTAATTGAAATGGAATCAGTTCATCTGCCATGTTGCTGACAATCCCACCTCTTAACCTTAACTTACTTAACAAATTATCAAATCAAGTTCTCTGAATCTTCCAATTTCATGGAACCCTATTAATTATAAGATATTGTAATTCTGTGTGAATATAGAGGAAGGTATTTCAAGAAAGAAAGTCATTTAGGGTCAAAGATGAAAAAACACACCAGATCTGGGGAAAAGGTCATTTTATCTGCATCACCTGTGCCTAGCACATTAATTACAGTATGTTCTATAGAAGGAGCTGAGAATTGTTAGTTAAATTAATTGTAGATTGAATTAATCATTGGTAGAGGTCTCTTTAGAAAAATTATTGAATTATTTAGGTTTTACTGCTCTATAGTAACAAATACATGGAAAAATATATGATGGTTTTCAAAAATAAAAGTTTATTTCTCTCTTACTTAATAACTTGACTTGGTGAATGGTAACTCTCCTGGATGGGGAAAACTTGTGAGACAAACTTAATTTTAATGTTATTAAAGTAATTAAAAATTAAAATACATAGAAACTCTAGGTAAATTTAAAAAGTTAAAAAATGCATACATACTGTGTGATCACCATCTATTCCATTAAGCCTCCTGACTATTAGGGACAATAGAGAAAGAGACCGTGGAGAAAGCTTAGAACTAGAACACACAGAGGGATGGCTGTAACGCAGTCTTAAGACCACTTCAGAGCATGGAGGATGAGAAATGTAGTCTACCTGAGTGTCCATATAAGATTCGGAAAGGAAAAAAATTAGATGGATAGAACTTGTAGAATATCTGATTGTTTACAAAGAAAAAAGCAATGTGTATATGGGTAAGCAGCCAGTAGTCACTACCACAATTAGTATGCGTCAGGATGGATAAAAGAGGAGTGACCTGCAATCAGCAGTTAAGGGAGCATTATAATATTTCACATAGAAAATGCGGTGATCAAAGCTAAAACTCTTGAAAATAAGTAGAAAATTATGTACAAATTAAGTAAAGGATCAATGAAATCAGATATAGAGATCAGGGGTAAATCAAGTAAGGGTGCTTGTGAACATCTCACATGTGATGTGAACCAGAAAATAAACCTGGATATATTCAAAAGCCTGAATGCAAAGTGTTGGGACATAAAATGAACATTACTTCAAATAATCTCTAAATGTTAAACATAATGTAATTCTTTTAAAAAAATATACACAATGTAATAAAATTAATACAATGTAATTCTTTTCAAAAAATGTTTAAACTCTATTTAGTTTGATGTGCAGAATATACAGTTTGGCCACACATGTTATAGAATGTCTGAGTGTGTAATACAGGGGAGAGGTTAAGCACAGATTCAAGAGTCTATTAAACAACAGATGAAACCACTGTGGGCTTCTACGAGTCAAAACAGAATTAATAAGCAATGGTGAGAGATGGTCAGAGAGAATGTCATTATGACTAGAAATATTAAGGATTTGGAATAGAGCTAAAACCTTTCACAGGTGAATAGCTACTTTAAAACTAAGATATTTGGATAATAATTAATTTTGTTTTGCAATGATTTAACCCAGGAGTCATTATAACTTACAACTTTCGAATGCCAATGTAGATACTTGTTAACTCCTATGTTCTAGCTCATCCTGTATTTGATCAGTAATACAATCTGTAATTGCCTAAGGTATATTGATCATCCTTTGAACTGGAATGCTTTCAAAAGAGAGCCTGTTCTTTCCTTTAATGTCTAACAAAATAGTGTGGAATTCTGGAATTTTATTACATTGTAAAGCCCCTGAGCATTGAGAGTCTATAATACATTTAATAAATGGATGAATAAACTATATTTCCCCAATATTTATAATTTTATACAATGTCTGTCAAAGTACATAACACACCATAAGAAATTTAATTATTTGTTAAATGATTAAAGCTTAGGTATTAGGCTGATGGTGTTGGGATCTGGAATAGACTGCTCTCATTTCTTAGACATCAATGGGTGAGGTTAAAAATAATTGGTGTCTCTGACCAAAAGAATTATCTTCCCCTCCATATTGGCTATCTCTGGAATTTTAAACCCAAGTATAGACAGCTAACCACTGAGGCAAACTGGTTTTTAAGTAAGATTAGTAAACACAGTAACTTTACTAATAATTCTGGATTTCTCTCTCCCCTTTCTTGATGAAGGATCTATGAGAGAAGGCAACCAGTCTTCTAATGTGGAGTTCATTCTCCTTGGAATTAGTGGTCAGCAAGAACAAGAATATGTCTTCTTTATCTTCTTCCTGTTCATTTATCCCATCACGTTAATTGGGAACCTGCTCATCATCTTGGCTATTCGCTCTGACACTCGCCTTCACAACCCGATGTATTTTCTCCTTGCCAACCTCTCCTTTGTTGACATCTTCTTCTCCTCTGTAACTATCCCTAAGATGTTGGTCAACCATATTTTGGACAGCAAGACCATCTCCTTTGAGGGATGTCTAACGCAGATGTGCTTCATGTTAGCCTTGGGTAACACAGACAGTTATATCTTGGCAGCTATGGCATATGATCGTGCTGTGGCCATCAGCCGCCCACTTCATTACACAACAATTATGAGCCCAAGGTCTTGTGTCCTGCTAGTTGTTGGTTCTTGGGTGATTGGAAACTCCAATGCCATCCCCCACACTCTGCTTACAGCTAGGCTGTCTTTCTGTGGAAATCGTGAAGTAGCCAACTTCTACTGTGACATTGCTTCTTTGCTCAAGTTGTCCTGTTCTGACATTCAATATAATGTGAAGATGATGCACCTAGGGGTTGGTGTTTTCTCTGTGCCATTAATATGCATCACCATTTCCTATATTCGGGTCTTTTCCACAGTCTTGAAGGTTCCATCCACAAAGGGTGTGCGCAAAGCTTTCTCCACCTGTGGCTCCCACCTCACAGTTGTTTCTCTGTATTATGGGACAGTCATGGGCATGTATTTCCGCCCTCTGACCAGTTATACCCTAAAGGATGCAGTGATAACTGTGATGTACATTGCAGTGACCCCGATGTTAAATCCTTTTATCTATAGTCTGAGAAATAAAGATATGAAGGCTGCCCTGGGGAAGCTGTTCAGCAAGAGAATCTCCTCATAATCAGTGTGAAAGTATATGGAGCCCGCAGTCACCAAATTAGATGCATTTGAGATCCATTGAAATGTCCTCCTTATAGGCCTCCTCTGGTGGTGTAATGGGTTAGAACACAGCACTGTTAAGCTGTCTGCAGCCACTTCAGGATAAGTTCAATCCCTGGCCAAGGAGATTCCACATGGCGAGGCAGTCCTCTCCTGTTTCACCATTGTTCCCTTCAGCAGTGTACTTTGTTGATCTGTCTCTTCTGCTCCCTACTCTGTCTCTGGTGAATCCTCTCACTGCCCTTGCCCCTCTGGCCTATGCTCCAGTTCTGTATGCATAAATAAATAAAATTTTAAAAAAGAAATGTCCTCCCCAGAACACCCCAAGAAGCCACCCTTTCTTTTAACATCAATAGATTCCTCTTCTTATAATATTATGATGAGGCACCACCTGAAGGCCTATTTGTTCACAAGATGCTACTTGGGACAGAAAAGGTTAATGTGCATCAATGTGTACATCAATGCAGCTGACTTGCAGAGTAAAGTTGAGAATGTCTGAATATTGGCTTCCCATCTACATAGCAGGAATAATTTTTGCTTTGTCTGTGTCAGAGGCTGTGAGGACCATAGGTCTTCATCTTATTATCAATTATTAATATTAATTATGGCCAATTTTTTGACTCAAGTTTAATCACACCTACTTCACTTGCCAAACTTGGAGGCAAGAGTTAATATATTGGTCTTAACAATATGTTGGTCTCCTGATATTGGTCATTAAAGTGCAAACCATAACCACTGGGAGAGGAACAATTTATTAATGTGAATGAATAAAAGTAATTATACATGATCAGAGTCAACATTATTTCTCATCCATCATATACCTGGTATGTCACAGGGTCACTATGGATTCATCCAGGAGACAGAAATCATACCTATTATTTTTTAATTAGTTAGTTTTAAATTAAGTTTTAACACAAAAATTAGAGGTATTGGCATATTCTGAAAATGACTAAAGGAGAAAAATGTGGATGCCAATGCAAAATGTATTTATTGCAAGAAGATATATCCCTGGCAACATGGGAGTTAAAGACAAAGAGCTATTAAGCTATTAGCAGCCACTGTAGCATGGGTTTGATTCCCTGGCCAAGGAGCTGACCCTCACGGCGTGGCAGACCTCTCTTATCTCACCCACTGCTCCCCTCAGCAGTGTGTTTCAGAGGGTCTGCCTGTTCTGCTCCCCACTCAGTCTCTGGTGAATGCTCTCACACCCTACACCTCGGCTTACACTCCAGTTCTTGTATGCACAACTTAAAGTGAAAAGTTCTTGAAGAATGTAAGAAAAAAATAGCACTCAAAAAAAGTGATCGCTAAAGTAAGTAGGAACTAAAGAAAGTGGTTACCAGAATGAGTAGTTTTTGAGCATAGGGATTGAGGGCAGTGAACTGCATGCCAGATAACAAGGCTGAGGGTGTCTTCATGGGGAGAAATAATTTCGGTAGGGTCCCAGAAATAAAGCTAAAGGAATTATATGCTCCTAGGGAGAGGAACCAAGAGAATTCAGCAGCATGAATGTTATAGGCAGAATAAGGGCCTTGATTTTATCAGAAACATGCCACTGTCCCAGATAATGCTACTCCACTAAAATCTGTCTTCTGTATGGTACCCAGATGAGGACAGTTTTGCTTCCTCTTGTCTATGGGCAGCACAAATGGCAATAGTGAATCCATTGAGTGCTTTAGGGTTCCCTGATAATTTTAGCTCATCATGATAATGAAATATAATTCCCCGAAAGAACTTAATAGCATGCGAAACTGATTGTGAGCATGAAAGGATGGTTAGTGCACCTGTGTCACTATTAATGTGTATGCATACACATACAACATGTGCATATTCACGGCTATATATACACACACAGTATCGTATTATGATATGGTTAGACAACAAAATCAGAACTATTCTTCTTTTTTTTTTCTTAAAGATTTATTTTTGCATACAGAACTGGGGTACAGGCCAGAGGTTGAGGGGCAATGAAAGGTTTCACCAAACACAGAACAGGGAGCAGGACAGGCAGATCAATGAAGTACACTGCTGAGGGGAGCAGCAGGTGAGACAAGGAGGTCTGCTGTGCTATGTGGATCACCTCTGGGCTGGGGATCGAACTCACACTGAAGCGGCTACTGCTAGCCTGCAGTGCTGAGTCCTAACCCTTTGCGCCACCAGAGAGGGCCCTGCAGTCCTTTAATTTTCTTTTCATTTGTCCATGTGAATTCACTCACTGTTACTCTCTATTAAAATCATTAATAGGAAAATGGAAAATTTACTTATTATTCCTCCAAATGTAGTTTTCTCTGTGAACAATATACAGCTTTGTGAATGTCTTCAGAAACACAAATGCTAGAATTTCATAGAGTCTACCCAGAAGCAAAATTGCTGCTTTATAGGTATATGAATTCTAGCTTTCCTAGAGATGGGCAAATCTCTTCAAGTAGCAGTGCTAATTTTCCCTTTCTTCCCAACATTACTTGAACACAATGCAAGATGATGAAACCTTGACTCATATGTATTTTAATATGGTAGAACACATTATAACCTTTTTATGGCCACACCGGCTTACTTTTCTGTGACTTGCCCATTCTCCCTTATGTCCACAATTTCCTTCTAGAACTGGCCCTTTTCTCTTCAGTGTTTAGGAACAAGTAATCCAAGTACTAATCCTCTATTGTGAGTGTACATAGCAGATACACCGTTCCCAGTTCATGACTTGTCTTCACGTTTATGAAGTTTCTTATTTCTTAATATTTTATGTTTGTGTAGAAGAACTGGGGAGTAGGGCAGAGGTGCAGATGGATAAGAGGATTTACCAGAGACGGAGTGGGGAGCAGAACAGGTGGATTTAAGAAACACAATGCTAAGGGAAGCAGTAGGAGAGACAGGAGAGGTCTGCTATGCCATATGTGAGTCAGCACCATGGCTAGGCACAGAACACACGCCACAGTGGTGATAGAGCTGAGATATAACCCCCAATTAAGTTTTACAAGCTTTCCCTTGTGTTTTGTACATTTTGATTTGTGTGCCTGATATAAGAAATACATTTCCAATATCATTAATATCAACATTTAATATCTAATTTCTACAATCAATAAATTTCTAATATTGAACATCTTTTTTATTCTAAGATTTAGTTTTTCCTTTTAGTCCTTGAGATAATAGTTTAAAGTGTTATCTATTAAAAATATTCAATTGCCCATAATTTTTCGGAACATAAATTTCATCCTTTTCCTGCCTATACCCAAACCAATCTTTGTTATATATCAGTTTCTCATTAGTTATTGCTTTGTTCTGACCTGCACAGTCTGTTACATAGGACTATTTGTCCCCATACTCATTTAAACTCAGTTTGAATTACCATAAGTCATGATACAAAAATGACTGATGATTTTAAAAACATATAGAAACAAATATTAAATAATAACAACAATAAATTACCATAACATAAGCTTTTTGAGGGCCTTCCCTGATGGTGCAGCAGGTTGGAATGCAGAACTGTGAAGCTGGCCATGGGCTTCAGTGTGAGTATAATTCCCACCCCCCCCAAGGTGACCCACATGGCATGGCAGACCTCTCCTGACCCGCCCGATGCTCCCCCCTTGCAGGGTACTTCATTGATCTTCCCATTCTATTCCCCACTCTGTCTCTGGTGAATTCTCACAGCCCCTGCACCTCTGGCCTGTACCCCAGTTCTGTATGCATAAAAAAATAAAAACTTTAAAAAAAAAAGCTTTTACTAGGTAACATAATTGCTTTTTTCATTACTCACTTGTTGTTTCTAATATTGACTTAGCTCCTCACTCTTCTACATGTATTTTGTCATTGTTAAAAACTAGTATTGCAGGGCCCTCCCTGGTGGCACAGCGGGTTAAAGCACAGCACTAAGAAGCTAAAGCCACTTCCCTATGAGTCCGATTCCGCCTGCCCCGGAAGTGACCACATGGCGTGGCAGACCTCTCCTGACCCGCCCACTGCTCCCCTCAGCAGAACAGATCTGCCTGTTCTGCTCCCCACACTGTCTCTGGTGAAGCCTCTTGCCACCCCTGCGCTTCTGACCTGTACCCCAGTTCTGTATGCACAAATAAATAAAATCTTTTTTTAAAAAAAAAAAACTAGTATTGCAAATAGGTTTCAGCAAATTCATTGGTTAGTTAAAGGAACATTGACATTTTTGACATATTGAGGTTTTCCACTAATCATGCCTTAATCTATATTATTTTAGATATTACATTTTGTCTGTAAGTGAAGTTTAAATATTTGATACATCCAAACTTCCTTTATTAGAATTTTTTTTAATTGTCAAAATTTCTATTGCTACCATAAGTGGGATTGTTGAATTATAATTTCTAATTCATTGTTACTTAAGTACAGAGATAGTTTTGATTTAAATCCTGATTTATATCCAACAAACTTCCTGAAATTATTATATTTTCACTGTATGCAGCCAAGATTTCTTTGCGTTGGCTCCACTTTCCTTACATTTTCAAATATTTTTTGTAGTGGTCTTTTCACATAAAGAGCAACACTTCAAGAATTTCTGCAGAGTGACTTAAGAAGCTTCCTGCTCCATGCAGATCTGTGGTCACCTCTCCTGTACCAGAGGCATTAACATGCCAAACTCCAGCCCTTCGGAACTCACAAGCCACAGAGTGGGTTACAGCTCTTACTCTGTATTTTACTTTTGTTTCTCATACATAGGTTTCCCCAGGTCTTTCTTTTAAGCCTGGCCAATGTAATTTTTTTACTGCTATAACTTATCAAGAACTTTGTGTTTTAATAGGAACACGACCTATCAACCTCAGCTTATACTGCTATGCTACTGACAGCCCTTCTCCAAAATCTTAACTTCTCTACCATCTCAATAACTATAGCTTCTGAATCCTCCAACTTTATTGAGATATCATGACATCCATCCTGAGGAATACAACTCTGTAGGAAGACAGGAAAGGACATGTCAATGAAAAAAATTAATTCCTTTGGTGAAGAGATAAGAAAGCCCATCATACTGGGGGAACCATAATTAGATATGTATCCCCAGAGCCTAGTGTATAATTCACATATAAGTTATAGGTGAAAGGTCACCAAGAACCGCATATAAGGTCTCAGAGAAGAGAGGTTTTATTAATGTCCAGTTGCCAGGTGAGGTTCTGAGCTGAGGGGTAGCAGAGTCGCATTGAGGGAGTTTTTGTAGGCTTAAGTAGCAGGGACAAATGGCCAGGTAGAAAATTTTGGCATGGAACAGAAGCTTATTTTTTTGCCTTGGCTTGCATTAATAAGAGGTACAAGTCATGAGATTATCACTTCTGAATATCTGCTCCTTCAAGCAACTGCTCCTTCCTTTGCCTAGGTTTGCCTAATGACTGATCGTGACAATAGGACATACTGAGAACTTGTGGTTTAAATAGTTATAGTTGACAATAATTTTGAGAAGAGGTCTCTTTAGAAAATTAGTGAATTCATTAGGATAGCCTGCACTACAGTAACAAATACATGGCAAATGTATATGTTTAACAGATTTAAAGAGATTTAAAATTCATTTTCCTGCTTTTACAGGTCCAGTGTGTGTTCTTGGTGGGTGTTGGCTCTCCTATGTGTGGAGAACTAGAGACACAGGCTCATTCCACCATGTGACTGCCAATGCATTCAGCTGTCCATCCATTTGCATTCATCAGGCACAAGGGGAAAGAGAGCCTGAATGCAGCCCAGAACCAGAACATACATGGATAGCAGGCATGTCACATGGCCACACCTCTTTGCAAAAGAGTCTGGGAAATGTAGTCTAGATGAGTGACCAAGAGAACAACTTCTGTTTGGGTATACAGCCAGACTCTCTATAAAAATAGTATGATCACAAAATGCAAGATAAACAAAGAGAAGGAAGCCATCTTATAGCTGTTAAGTAAGTGTTAACAATATCTTACATAGAAAATGTGAGCTAAAGATGAAAGTTGTAAGTTAAAGAACTTAGAAAGTAAGTAGACAAATGAGTTAGTAAAAAAATTTTTTAACAAGGCCAGATGCAGAGGAAAAGGGCAAATTGGATGGTTGTGCCCATGAGCATCCCACACGTGAGGAACCTATAAGATACCCAGATACAACTCAGAAATATTAAATTCAAATGTATGGTGCATACAGTAAAGAGAAAATCATAAGCAACACTCCTTTCTAGGAGCTAAAAGTAAACAGGGTATAGTTTCTCTCCTCAAAACAGCCTGTAATTGACATTGGTTGTATGTGTAGCATTTGGGTTTTATGTGGACAGGTTATCAGGATGGCAAATGTGGAAATATAGGAAAGTAAGTTTACAGATATAGACCAAAGAGGCTACTAACAGTAGATGAAAAACTCAAAAGAGTAGCATGAGTCACCAAATAAATTATAAAACAAAGGAGGGGAAACAAACAGAAAAGTATAGTGATTATATATATTTAAAGGTTTGGAAAAGAGATAAAATCTCTCAGAATAAAAATATATTCTAGAAAATGGGATAGTGCTTCACTGGACTTGCTTTCCTAAGAGCTATTCTCAGCTATCTTTCTGATTTATTATCTTCCAGCACCAATGTCGATACCTGATGTCCCATTTCTCTGGGACCACACTGAGATTGTTTACTGTATTAATTTTCTACTTGCCCATGATGCTCTTGTAGGAAACACTTTCGTTGTAACAAAGTGTTGTCCTTTTATTATCATGTATAATGAAATTAGTGTGCAAACCTAGCCTGTTCATTTAGTTATAAGGACTCTGAGAACACAGACTATGTCTTTTTTTGTTAAATATGAGTAAACTGTATTTTTCCCAACATGTCGCCTCGCAAGGCAGCAATCTTGTGAGCAGTATGGAGCCAAGTAAAAAATGACTCAAAGTCTAAATAGTGAGAGAGACCCACATCTAGAGGGTTCACATTTCTGGAGATGTGACCACTTCCCCCAAGACAAGACTCATTTTTATTTGGGGATCAGATTTTATTTGGGAGTTTAAATTTTTTATAAGGTGGGCAAGTCACTGGAGGAACGTTAGCAATATTAGGCCTGGGGATGCAGAATAGTCTAGCACAGGCTAAGGGGGTAAATAGAGTTATCGTTTGGGGGAGGCACTATTGCTGCTGATGAAAACGGCCTATCTCTGTAACACTTAACTTCCTGTCAGAGTGGCCTAGGGTGATGGTGATGCTACTCTGGCTCTCATGTCTGCCTGCTGTTTTTAGCAGAAAACCTCAAAACAAAACTTTTGTACTGAGAGAGTCCCTTGACTGACCCTACATTATCTTAATAATCAGAAACAAATCTGTATCCCAAGCAACATCCTGAGTACCAGAGATGAGTGGGATTCTGCACCCCCCAATATCCATGATTTTTCATGTGACCAATCAAAATACATAACTTGAGTAAATCCAAGATGTTCCCATAAACAGTATCATATTACATTGCTTGCTTCTTAGAGTTAATGCTAAGCTATGTGATAATTATCCAACGGATGTGCAGGGGTTATTCTCCTGTAACTGACCACCCCTAGATTTAGCAAACCCACCTACATGTACTGGTAATCAAATGAAGAAGGTATTATACACAGTAACTTCATTAATAATTCTGATTCCTTTCCCCTTTCTTAATAAAGGGGAAGAAAACCAGTCCTCTACCCTGGACTTCATCCTTCTGGGGATGAGTGGTCAGCAAGAACAGAAAGAAGTCTTCATCCTTTTCCTGTTCATTTACCCCATCACCTTGATTGGGAACCTGCTCATCATCTTGGCTATTCACTTTGACACTTGCTTTCACAGTCCCATGTATTTTCTCCTTGCCAACCTTTCCCTTGTTGACATCATCTTCACCTCTGTAATTATTTCGAAGGCACTAGCCAACTTTATCTTGCACAGCAAAGCCATCTCCTTAAAGGGATGCCTAACACAGATGTATTTCATGATTTCCATGGCTAACGCAGCCAGTTCTATCTTGGCAGCTATGGCATATGATTGTGCTGTGGCCATCAGCTGCCTGCTTCATTATACAACAATTACGAGTTGAAGATAGTGTGTCCTGCTAGCTGTCGGTTCCTGGCTGATCGGCAGCTGCAATTCTTTTCCCCACACTCTGCTCACAGCAAGGCTATCCTACTGTAGAAACCGGGAAGTAGCGAACTTCTACTGTGACATTGCTTCTTTGCTCAAGTTGTCCTGTACTGATATTCATTTTAATGTGAAGATGATGTACCTAGGGGTTGGTGTTTTCTCTGTGCCATTAATATGCATTGCCATTTCCTATATTCAGGTCTTTTCCACAGTCTTGAAGTTTCCGTCCACAAAGGGTGTGCGCAAAGCTTTCTTCATCTGTGGCTCCCACCTCACAGTTCTTTCTCTATATCATGGCACAGTCAAGGGCATGTATTTCTGCCCTCTAATGACTTGCAGTATAAGGGATGCTATAGTAACAGTGATATACATTGCAGTGACCCGATATATGTTAAATACTTTCAGAGTCTGAGAAATTGGGACATGAAGGTTGCCCTGGGGAAGCTTTTCAGTAAGAGAATCTCCTCATAACATGTGTGAGCTTCTGTGGAAACCAAAGTCACCAAATTAAGATGCATTTGAAATCCATCCAAATGTCCTCCCCACAACACTCCAAGAAGCCACCCTTTTATAGACTAGATACCTCTTCTCAGAAATCCTATAACTATGATGAGATACCACCTGAAGGTAGCCTCACAGGAGGCTACTATTGACACACTCACAGCAAAGGTTCATGTCATATCAATGCAGCTGACTTGCAGAGTAAAGTTGGGAAGGTCTGAGGCATGGCTTCCACATCTGCATGTCAGACTCAGACACCAGCCAAACACAGGCATATGGAAGGAGCAGCTGCCCCAAGCAGTAGAGGATATTCAGGAGCAATAACCTCATGACTTGTTTGTCACCATTTGTTAATGCAAGCCCGGGAAAAAAAATAAGTTCCAGTTCCTTGTCAAAATTTTCCACCTTGCCATTTCTCCCCACTAGCTAGGCCTATAAAAACCCCTCCAACCCTTCCCTCAGTGCACTTCTCTGACCTCAACTCTCTCTGGGGTCAGTGAACCTCACCTGGGAGCACAGAAATAAACCTACTTTTGGTTTTACTGGCCTCGCAGTGTTTTTGCGTCCTCCCTACTGTGCTGAACCTTTCACATAACAGGAATAATCTCTGCTTTGTGACAGAGGGTATGAGGAACAAGTACTTCATGTTCTGAAGTTTATACCTTGTTACTGTAACAGGGTGGTCCGCAGGAATAGGGGAGGTTCCAGGTTCCCTGCCCCACGCAGAAGGAGGGTGGAGCTGAGCAGAAAGGAAAAGAATCTGGAAAGGAGACAAAGGAGGAAGGAAGCAAGATAGAGAGCTAGAAGGAGACCTGAGGGAGCCACATGGAGCAGAGACATGTGAAAAAACTACACTTGCTTCTTGTTACTGAACTGGTTAAAACAGATGTGGGTTAGAGACCTGTGGGGAAGTTAACTATGGCAGCATTTATATTGATTTTGATTTTGCTCTTTTCCTCCCAGACTTGTCTGGCCATTTCTGACCCTTTTCTATGGGTCCCTGCCCGAAGTTGCTCTAGAGGTGTGGCGGGCTTTCAGGCCTTGCTTTGGGCCCATGCCTTTTGGGTAGACTTTCACCCAGGAAGGGATGGGTAACTTTGGGTATTTGATTTAGAAACTCTTATTTTTTATGTTTGCTGTATTGCATGCTGATTGTATTAAAGTTCCTTTCCATTAAAGTTCTTATATGTCTTATCTTGATATGGTGGGTGACAGAACCATTTAAAGCAGACAGGTTTGGGGGTTCAGAGTGTTTCTGTGTCCTTACCCTGTGACATTACCAAATGGCAAATTTGGACTCATGTTTAATTACACCTATGTTACTTGCCAAACTGAATGGCGAGAACTGTTTTACTTAATATTGGTCTCCTGGCCCTCCCTGGTGGTGCAGTGGGTTAAAGCACAGCACTAAGAAGCTAGCCACTTCCGCATGAGTTCGATTCCCGCCTGCCCCGGAGATGACCACATGGCGTGGCAGACCTCTTCTGACCCGCCCGCTGCTCCCCTCAGCAGTGCACTCATCAATCTGCCTGTTCTGCTCCCCACTCTGTCTCTGGTGAAGCCTCTCGTCGCCCCTGAGCCTCTGGCCTATACCCCAGTTCTGTATGCACAAATAAATAAATCTTAAAAAATATATATATATATTGGTCTCCTAATATTGATCATTAAAGTGCAAGCATAATCACTGGGAGAGAGGCAAATTATTAATCTGAATGAATAAATGTAGTCTGATAATAATTATACACGATCAGAATCAATATTATTTCTCACTCACCAGATACCTAATATGTCATATGGTCACTACGGATTCAGCAGAATATAGAATGGGAAAAAATCTTACATTATTTTATGAAGTAAATGTAAGTTTGATTGCAAGCTTGATAAATATTATACAAAACCACAGAAGAATCCCATTTATTAATATTAATGCAAAAATTATAAGGATCCAATAAACTATTAAAAAAGAACAGTGTGTCTTCACTACATAGGTGGGTTTATCAGGAGCGCAAGCTTGGTTAAATATTAGGAAAGCTATGTTACCATCTATGGAAATAGTAATAATTATATCTAACAATATTCAAAACCTATTTCTCCACTGAAAATAATTATTAATTGGGAAGCCAACTAATGGACCTTCCTTAATAATAATCATTTTAATGTGATTATTAAATGGCCAACTACTTAGGAAGGTTGTTGGGTATAGTAACACATTAATATTAGTCAAAAATAAGAATACTCATTGTTAAAATTACCATTTAAATTGTATTTAAGGGAAAAAATTATATTTAAGGATACACCCAAGATCATAGAACATATACGATCATAGGCATAAAAATTGGGAAGTAGGAGGTACAATTATCTCATTTACAAATGAAAATATTCCTGTGTACCCCAGAAAATCGATGAATAAACATAAGACAATTTAGAGGAATAAACAATAAAGATTCATCACACATAAATAAATTATATTTGTGTAGACAAAAAACTCCACCCAATTAAAAGATGTCATGAAAGGAAAGAACCAATTTTCTTACAAATAAAAAGACAAAATAAATGGGGAGAAAAAAGTGAAAAGGACTGTTCAAGATCTATAGAAGAACACTTCAAAACCTGATTAAAGCATCAGTTCAGGCAAGGATAAAAGGATATCAAATAATATTATAACCAGAGGGCATATGAATAATGGAGAAATAAATATTTACATGATGCCAAACTAACATCACACCAATTAAATTCTGCTCACAGAAAGGAGAATGTGACTTTTCAAAAGGAGGATTTGTCACTTCACAACTATCGTAGTAAAACTTACCATTGAGCAGTTGTCATACATGGATTAGAGTGATGTACTTTAAACCAAAAATACTCCATTTAAATGTAGCATTACTGCTAGCACTACCAGTTATAAGAATCCCAAGAAGCAATTTAGCTTCACCAAGAGAAATAGTAACTATCAGATACATCATAAATATACTCTACAGGTGTACCCCCTAAATAACTCACTGTATATAACTCACTGCATATAACTCACTGTAAGCCCCAAATCAATGCATATGTACATTTAGTGGGTCTGGGACGGAACCCAAGAATTTGCATGTGTGACAGGCCCAGGAGATGTTGATGCTGCTGTTAGTGAGAACTTTGAAGCAAAGGAGATTGGAGCAATATCTATATTCAGTCCCTATTGTGGAAAAAAAAAAAAAAGAATCATTAGATTTATAAAAAGAACCAAGAATCATAAAAAAAAATAAATTTTGCAACATAATGTCCTGGAATGGATTCCTATTTTGACAAACCAACTGAAACAGAACAGTTTTGACAATAAACAGAACATCTTAATACCAAATAGTTAAACTTAAAACAAGAAATTATTAATTTCCCAGCTCAGCCACCGGGGCCTCAAAAGCAGGCCCAAGTCCCACACCAGGCTGCACAAGGTCCCATACTTCAGCAGCAACCCCACCAATGCTTGCAGATTTCTCTCAACCCTCTGCGCAGCCACTAGTGCCTAGAGACGCTCATATCTCTGGAAATGCTGTACCTTACCCCAGCCAGACTCACATTTATTTGGTACCAGATTCAGGGAGGGTGGGCAAGTATGTGGAAGAATGTGCCAGATGGGGATGTATATCAGGGATGCATAACCACCTGGCACAAGCTAGGGGGTTGTGAATAGGGGCTGTTGCCTGGAGGCTCTATTGTTGCTGCTGATCAAAACAGCCTATCTTTAATCCCTGTTTACACTTAACTTCCTGTCAAGATAGTCTACCTGGTTACGGTCTAATCTGACCATAATGTCTTCCTGATGTTTTTAGTAGATATCCTCATACTAGACTTTTGTCCTGGTGAGAGGCCCCCCTCCCTGATTCTACATTTTAGCTTGACCAGCAGCAACTTTGGTTTCCAAGCAAAATCCTAAGAACAAGGAGGACCTGGAAATCTACAACCTGAGTTTGATCCCTGGTCAGAGATCTAGCCCCACATGACACAGCTGACTTCTCCTGTTTCAACCAGCTGCTCACTTAGCAGTATATTTTACGTCTGTTCTACTACCCAGTCCGGCTCTCACAAACCCTCTCAAACACCTCCTCCCAAACACACCTCTGGCCTACACCCAAGTTCTATGCAAAACTGATGTTTAAAAAAATCTAAAAAAGATTAAAAGAGATGAAAAATGCTACAGAAAGTAATAAAAGTAGAAAAAAACAAATGGAGAAGCAAATCAGTGAACTTGAAGATAAAGACTTATAAAGAATCCAAATGGAAGATGACAAAGAGAAAAAAGGTAAGGGAATTTTTTCAGCAAGGGAAAAATAGAGAATATAAACAACTGAGATTCCATCCAAGAGCTTCTGCACAATGAAAAAAAAGCTATTACTATGACAAAACTACCCTACTGAATGGAGAAAATATTTGTACATCAGACATCTAACAAGGCTTTGATATCTAAGACCTACAAAGGTCTCATTCAACTCAAGTGAAACAAATAACCCATTTGCAAGATTGCCAGAGGAACTAAATAAAAACTTCTACAAAGAAGATACATAGGTGGCCAATAGGCATATGAAAAAATGCTCATCATCATTTATTATTAGAGAAATTCAAATCAAAACCACAATAGTATACCATTTCACACCTGGGCAAATGACCTCTATCAAAAAGCCCAGAAATAAGTGTTGGAGAGGATGTGTAGAAAAAGGAGGCCTCATCCATTGTGGTAGAAATGTTGACTGGCTCATTCCTATTGAAAAACAGCATGTATGTGTCTCAAAAAAATAAATAAATAAATAAAGATATACCACATGCCACATGATGTAGCAATTCTACTAACAAGTACCTACACAAAGAGTGCAAGAACACTAATTGGAAGAGATGTATGCACTCGTATTCATTGCAGCACTATTTACAATTTACTATTTATGGAAGCAACCCAAGGACAGAGGAGTGCACTAGGAAGATGCAGTATTATATAA